AATTTCAGATTTTATATATATTTAGATACAATTTTTTTAAACAAATATTGATATATGACTCGAGTCTACATATCGGTATTTACTGTAAATACATCCTCAACTAAAAGTGAGAGATAAATGGTTAAACCGCCATCCTCAAATCAGACCTCAGTCAAACCCGTCTGGAGGACGGGTAATAGCTAGTATATATATATATATATATAATTTAGTTTTCCAAATGGAAGTTAAATTACACAGCAAATATTGAAATGACAACAACTGGAGACATAATTATGCACTCAATTGTGCATAATTATGTCTCCAGTTGTAATTTTAATATTTTCTGTATATATATATATATATATATATATATTATATATGCCCTTTCTCGAACTCTCCCCCTCTCTCCAATCTCTCTGGCAGGGGCTCTCTCTCTCTCTCTCTTTCTCTCCCCCCCCCCTCCCCGTTCTCTCTACCATTGCATCGCGAACGGGAGCCCAACCCACCCACCTACCAGGCTCTGTCAAAGCAGAAACCAGCACTGCGACTGTACTGCCACTTGGCGGTCACAATGGTGCAGAATACGCGGTCGTTCATCTCCGGTAGAGAGCAGTACTCGTCCCTGATGAAGTTAGTGAACGCAGACTGCGTCGTCTTCATCAGCTTCAGGTCTGTGATTCCCGCGCTCACCACAGGTGTCTCTGAAATCGGGAGACGGCTCGGAAATGCCAACATCTCTCAGATAGACATAGATAAAAAATTCGATTACCAGGCAGACGCACTCGCACACTAACACGCATGCGCTCAGATACACACACTCGCACACAGGTCATAGAACTAGAATAGAAGTCGATTTCTAGTTCTATGATGCAGGCACGCACACAGGTATGCGCGCACGCGTGCACAGAAATCTAACCGTATCGTTTGTGAGCGACGTCACAGAACCGCGTTCCGTCATTGGTGGAGATGAAGGCATGGTTATGCGGGCGCCCTTTAACTTCCATTCTCCGCCACGGGGCCTCCTTAATATGGATATGCACTCTGGTCACGTGACGGTACTTATCCAGAAAGTGGTTGGATAAGATGAGAGCAAACGTTTCAATGTTGTGTATCTGCAACGACAGCATCATCTCTGTTTAATTGCAGCCTGATGCAGTTTCTATGATTAAGGTGATTTAATCTATGATTTAATTTATGATTTTATGATTACCTCTCTGTATATTGCTCTTGGCATGAACTCGTCTCGCCTGAGGTAGTTCTATGAATGAGGTTCAATTGCATGAAGCATTACCATAACCGGTCTGACGATGCTATCCTACACTTTATCGCGCAGAGGCACGCCAGGCACAAGTTTCATAATATTATATAAGCTTTAAGGCGGACACACACACCACCTTTAGGCATTGGGAGGGAGTGTATACTTTAAAGTACTCCACCCTCAACCTTTAAGTGGAGGATACTTCTACCTAAAGTCAACCTCTCTTTCTCTTCCCTTCTCTCTCTCTCTCTCTCTCTCTCTCTCTCTCTCTCTCTCTCTCTCTCTCTCTCTCTCTCTCTTTACATATCTCTCACTCTTTATCTTTATATCCCTTTATCTTTGATAGAATGATAAACAAGTGTTAGATCGACACACACACAGTAAACAGAAGTAGGTAGGGCAATAACGTTATTTGTTCTTATTCATTCCTAATAATCACAAGGTAAGAAGTCATTAACGTACCCCTGGTAGTATCATAGAAACTATAGAATAAATTATACTAGATAGAATAGCTGTGCAAATCTATTACGTGTGCTCTTCTACACTTGTTAGTACTATAGTAACACAGAACCAATAGAATAAATTATACTAGATATATACTAGCTTTACGCAATCATTAATGAACCTCTGGTAGTATCATAGAAATAAATCAATTGTACTAGATAGACTGGCTCTACATGTCTGTTACGTGTGCTATTCTATGTCTATATGTGATTCTACGCGTGGTATCTGGAGCAAGCGCACTAACCCCTCTCTGTTTGGCAAGGATGTAGACTGTGTTCTTCTGTGTGTCCGTAGCAATGATGTCACTGTTGTCGGCGTGCGTGTAGTCCTTCTGGCATGCCAAGGTCAGCGTAGTGTTCACCTGCAGGTATTACACACGCACACACACGCACACACACGCACGCACGCACACACACACACACGCACACGCACACGCACACGCGCACACACACACACACACACACACACACAAACACACACACACACATACGTAGGTATTATATATATATATCTTTACTATACAGCATACAGTTGACAGGGTAATACAGTCGTGCAACAAGACCAAGCCTAAATTTTACAACAGTAGAATGTAACACAACGAATACAAGTTTTATAAGAGTTGTGCCTTGAATTCCGATCACGTCACGTAATTGTTAATCCAAAAAGGGAGAAGCATGTTACATACACTTCAATTTTTGCATTTACTCTTATTGAGTAATGATTGACTTTAATTATTATTCGATTATCCATCTACGTATGCCTGCCTCCTTTTGTAACCAGTGTACGCTCCATTACTCACCGCTTTGTCTCTCCCTCCCTCCTACCTTTATCCTTTCCATCTTCTAACACTCACTTTCTAACAACACCCCGCCTTTCCTCTTTCCTCGCTCACTCTTACCTCATTCGCTCTCTCCCCCTCTCCCCGTCTCCTCCATCCTCTCTCTTCTTCACTCCCACTGTTCCTCCCTCTTTCCTTTTCTCACCTGTCTTCAATTCCCACTCTTCCGCCCCTTGTATTTGTATCCTCCGTTCCTCTCTCCTCCGCCCTTCTCCCTCTCGTCGTTGACTCCTCCACTACCTCCATCACTCCTCTCTCCTCCCCTGACTCTTGGACGTCTTATTTCTATTACCCTCCCTCCTCTAACCCATCTCCTCTACCCCTCTCTAAGAGCTGCTACTCTCTCCTCCACCCCTACTCTTGGACGTCTTATTTCTATTACCCTCCCTCCTCTAACCCATCTCCTCTACCCCTCTCTAAGAGCTGCTACTCTCTCCTCCACCCCTTCTCCTCTACCCCTCTCTAAGAGCTCCTACTCTCTCCTCCACCCCTCTCTAAGAGCTCCTACTCTCCTCTCTCTCCTCCACCCCTTCTCCTCTACCCCTCTCTAAGATCTCCTACTCTCTCCTCTCTCCTCCACCCCTTCTCCTCTACCCCTCTCTAAGAGCTCCTACTCTCTCCTCTCTCCTCCACCCC